TATATGCGGTTACTAGGCAACAGGTGAGCGTTGATCGGCTGACCAGCGGACCCGGTGTGCTCCTGATCGATTAACCTGCCCCTCTCTCACCTCTACGCGGAGCTTCGTCCCGGATGGCCGGGGCGCTCACGGACCCGACCCGGGCTCCGGTGGCCTTCGGGCGGCGGGCCGTGCCGCAGCTGTTCGGGGAGCTGCAGCGGGCCGGGGCTGCGGCGAGGCTCCGGGCTCTGACGTCACTCTGCGACCTGGTGCACGAGCCGGAGCGACTGTACCAGGCTGTTACCGGAGGTAAGAGCTCAGAGGGTCACCGTGAGGTCCGCCCTCTGCACAGAGGTGTGCAGTTCAGGGGAAATCAGGGAAAGAAGGGAGGAGCCGTGAAACTGTGCTGGACAGGCTTTTGAAAACTATAAAACATAACGTGAGGACTTCAGGTGTTTCACTAGCTGTTATTGGCGTGTTTGAAGGTGGGACTTGGGGTGGTACCGGCCCACTCTGAAGTCTGCTGTGACTAAAATGGAGGAAAGTTGGGAAAAGTACAAACTGGTTCTTCTTCTGCAGGTTTTCTGAAGCAGCTGAAGGTTTTGTTCATGGATGAAGATCCATCAGTCAGAGCAAAGACCTGTGAGCTTCTTCACCTGCTGACCTCACACAGCATCGGCAGGTACGTGCACCGAGACAAACAGGCACAGCACCGGGAGGAAAACGGGGTCATCGGGTCATTCTGTTTAAAACGGAAAAGCAGGAAAGCAAAACACGCACAATTGCAATAAAGAGGCAAACAGATCAAACAAGCACATAATGCAAAACAACAGATACACAAAAATGATGACCAAAAACGAGCAAAACTAGTAAATAAAGCTTCTCATGTCTTTAAGACAAGCGTGTTTGGAGTCGATCACAGACCAAAGATCCGCTCAAACACTCGAGTTCATCACGAAGAAGCAGAATCTTGTTTTGGGAGTTTTTCAGACACGAGAGAAAATGTTGAGCCTGAAAAGTTGACAAACGGCTGTTCTGGAAAAAAGGATGCGACGTGTGAGCAGAATGAAAGAGAAAATCTGAACTGCTGGGCTCTCAGTTTCTGCTGTGCTGCGACCCCACCTGCAGGTGGCGCTGTGACTTTTCATAATGTATTTGAATTATTGATAAACTAGTTTTCAGCTGCAGGTGAACTTAAAGAGCACACACGACACACGCGGCACCGTATCAAGTATTTGTGTTATGGAGCTTTGAAACATGACTTTGAAATAAATGTCCAACACAAATGAACAAACACTTTTTTAAATTAGTCAAAGGAGCTTGCAAAGAAAAGCGTCTGGACTTTGCAAGCTCTTTTGACTACGATGACCTGGATGACTGAGAACCTTCACAGACACTTTTTTTTAAATTATTTGACAATAAATAAACCACCAAATTACACAAAATACTTTTTTATTAACACTGTGAAATAACTTTTCAATTTTATTTAGTAACCTATTAAAAACACAGAATTTACCTTTTTTAAATTATTGAGATAAATATAGCATTACATAAGAGCTAAAGTTGCGTCTGCCTGTGGACCATTAACTAGCAGAGTTGCTTTTATAAATTTAGGATATTTGTTGGGATCCGTTTGTGTCATTTTTTGAATCTTTCTGAAAGTTCAGGAGCTTTAAAGCTGTTCAGGGTTCATGTGTGTGTCCTGTGGCCTCCTCCTGCAGGCAGGCCGTCCTCGCCTCCTCCCTGCTCCCTCCTCTCTGTCAGCTGCTGGACGACTCCTCGTTCTCCTGCAGGAGGAACGTCCACCGAGTGCTGAGCCGCCTCGCTCTGCTGCCTGCAGGTAAGCTCGGATTCTCAGCATCAGCAGCTGAACTCAAACCTGGAGTTTAATGATTGAGGACTAAGATGATGTTTGAGGGGTCAGGGGGCGTGTCCTCAGGGCAGCAGGTCACACGCTGCAGCACTCGTTTGTGGGCGTTCATGAGGACAGTTCAGGGCTTAATTGTGGGTTTTCACGCCGCCCTGCAGGAGCAGAGGCTCTCCTCTCTCTGGTGCCTAAACTGATGCTGAAACTCACAAAGGAGGAAGATGAGGAGGTGCAGCTGCTGCTCCTCTCCACCCTCACCCACTGCTCCAGGCTGGACGCCCTGCCGGGGTTGGCCTCCGATGGCGTCTCGCTGCTGGGACGCAAACTGTCCCACCGATCCTCGATCATCCGCCGAGAGGCGGCCGCAGCAATGATGGCACTCAGGTAGATCAGCTCGCTCTGATCCAGGCCGTGCTTTTGTTTCCTCGCCGTGCGCTGGTTTAACCGACTGTTTGTCTGCTGGTTACAGCGTTCCCATGGACGGGAAGCGACAGGTCTGCGAGGATGCCGAGGTCCTTCCTGTCCTCGTCGGTCTTCTACGGGACAAAGACGTGGAGGTCCAAGCCAACGCTGCAGGAGTCATCATGAACACCGTCATCATCACCACCGGTACAAACGCACACACCGGCTTCCACAGCCCTCAACTCAGAAACTCCAAACTTTGAATCATGATCAGTTCAATAAAATCGTTTTTACATCCACGATCAGTCTGAAGGTATCGACCAGCTTCAGTTTTCATGTTTCAAACACAGAAGTAGTAAAGTACCTGTGACTGCAGGTAAGCAGCGGTGCCTGGACCTGGACGTCCTCCCCGTCCTCCTCGGCCTGCTGTCTGAGAAGCACGGGGACGATGACGAGGAGGAGATGAAGAAGAGGAGGAAGGCCCTCATCGTGTACGTCCTTCGTGCGCTCACCTCATTGGCTGAGGCTCCTAACGGCCGCCGCCTCCTCCTGGAGCAGCTCCCCCTGCTGGAGAAGAAGGCTGAGGCCGCGGAGGAGGACCAGGACATCCGGCGGGCCACTCAGACCGCCATCCAGGTCATCACCTGGACTCCATGACCTCTGACCTCCAGAGGTCTCATGGAGTAAGAAAATAAAAAATCAAAACTCATCACACATTTTCTGATGTCATTGTTAAACATCACATGACCAGTCCAAT